ATTTTGTGGCACTGGGTACTGTACCCTAAACTGCTTGTGCTTAAACCCTAACCTTCCCTAACCACATAGAATTCAACACCAGTAAAGTGTGTGAATTTGTGGCATTGGGTACTGTACCCCAAACTGCTTGTGCTTTAACATGGGTTCAGGCATACCCAAAATAAACAGAGTCCAACAGTTTTTGTGCACAGTTTACTGTATGGTGTTGGAATTTGTGTGAACGGGTATGGTTCGTAGTAAATCTCTCTGGGGAGTTATAAGGGTTAAGGAACTCTCAATAACAATGGGATTACAGTACTTGCGTTGACAATCAACGTGTACTCTTTGACCTGCCGTTACACTAATTGAATCTCTCGTTTCTTTAGCCCTGTGTATTCCCTGCATCCTGTCTCTGTTAACATGCAAGCATTTTCTGTGTGTGTTATGATCTCATTGCCAAAAAAAACCGATATGTCCACGATATTTTCCATTCTGCTCAACCTCCCAGCCCGGTATGAAAAATTCTGATACTAAAGCTGGCAATAATTCCGCTGAAGGTCTTAGTATGAAGTTAATGACATGCAGTACTGTTACATTGTCGGTATAATTTACTGTGACATTTATGACTGATGATAAATATAAACTAACTCTTCCGTTAAAGTTCGCTTTCCCAAGTGAAATGCCAGTCCGTCGTCTGCCACCTTTGCATGAGGTCAATAGTCCTAGGCATGATGTGTTACTTTGTACATGTGCTGGTATATTCTGTGAGGCAAGTCGCCAGACGAATTAAGAAAGGGTGCCGTCCATAGTTTGGATATAAAAGAACTCAGATTTTAGCCAAAAAATGCTTTAAAAACACTTTCCACTTCATAGAAAAAGTTCGATTTTTCACAAGTTCTTTATTTCAAGTTATTTGATGCTAAAATGAATTCTATTGCAATTTGTTTTAAGTCTGAAATTAATTTGACTGGACTACATGTACATGTACTTCTAGCCTGTGAAAATTGCGATTTGCCTTCAATTTAATCCTTGGTCAGTGCCCCACACCGAGGCAATTAAATTAGAGCCTCCAGCCTTAGGAAGAATTCATAGAACTTCAAATTGCTAGCTTTCAGTTTACATTTTGAGCTTCGCTGTTCACAAAGCTCAGTTATAGCCTCCCCCCTTTTTATGGAATTGCAAGAATTTTTTTGTACATACATGTACATGTATGTACTATACCGGTAGGTCTATTGGTTACAGGTGAAACCAAAAATCATAAAGTACGGTACATGTACATAGAATTTGATGGCTGTCAGTAGACTTTGTGATTCGGGGCAAGCTTTTGCTTAGTTACCGGTACATAAGAGGCGCTTTGCTCCAATACACTGTTTCAGTGGATAAGAAGGGCACAAAGGAACCAGTCCATTCCAGAGATGGTGGTTGCTATGCAAAAGCTTTCCCCGAATCACGAGGTATAGCAACAATGTCTTTAGTCTGGGGAATTCAATTTGCTTTATTTGTGCAATCAGACAATTCAGTGTACCGGTACTAGATTTTATTCATATTCAACTTGCAAAAGGCTATTCAGTTCAATTCAGTTTTGTTCCATTCACTTCTCCTGCAAGTCCAATTCATTCCCTTCAAGTCCAGTCTGGCCTAATCCGATCCCCTGGTACCTGGTATGCTTGGTGCCCAAGAGGTGTTGTGCGTCCCATCACAATTTAGTCAACAATAATTGTTAAACCTGTGTAATTCTGTGACATGTACAGGTTCATGTATTAGTACAACATTTGGTGCAGTTGTTGCAATATTTTAGACTTTCCATCGCCTGTTTACATGCATGTACATGAACTATGTTCACAATGAGAAGAAATGACAGCAGCCCAAGTAACTTTAACATGCTCTTCTTTTGGGGCCTAGGCAGTTGGTTTTGAGCGCACAAGATCCAATAGCTGAGTGAAATTGTGTGTCCGATAACGTCTGATTTTATCCTCCAATTTTTGGGACTTGATACATGTATGAATCCAGCACCCCCATATTTTTTACTGTACAGACCTGCTTGTGTACAGGTACATATGCAGCATATGCTGTGCTTTCAGTTATGGTTAATATTCAGAATTACTCATCCCATCAGCCAATCCCCATGAAGCTTGCCCGAGCACACAGAGTTATCATCCAATTAAGCCTTTGGTTTCTGGCCCATCCCACTCTTCTCAAAGTCCTATGGGTCTACTGTCTCCTACAGTACAGGTGTTCAGATAAAAGCAGTGGTTCTTTTTTCCTGACCAGCAGGTGTCCACTGTGCAGGGCAGAGGATGGCAGACTCCAGGCCCAGGCCGTGCGTCCTGTGTGGGCCGTCGGGGTCGGGCAAGAGCACCCTCATCAAGAAACTTATGGAGGAGTACAAGGACTATTTTGGCTTTTCTGTCAGCCGTAAGTGTACTGGTATTTTGTAGAATTCCCCAAGCACATCATGGAGGCATGTACATGTATACCAGTGCATCGTGGTTGCACTGTAATAGTGTGTTACAGCTTTTAATCGTACAGGTTTTACGTTAATTATCACAGAGGACCGAACACAGAGAAAACAGTGTCTGTCCTTGGTTGTCCAAAGTGATTAGCCTTTTGTCCTTGGGGATAATTTAAGTGGTTATGCTTTGTCCAGAAGAGATCTGAGCCCTATGCTGTAGGAGCAATTCGAAACTTGCTGGTCACTGGTATGGTGCGTACAGGAACATTACACATGTTACATGTACATGCACAAGATCTGTCCTTGGTGGTAGCACATGGATGTGTACTATACATGTACATGAACATGACTCAACATGCAGGCAACAGATCATGCCGATATTGTACATACATGTACATGCATGTACATACATGTACATGTATGGTGTACATGTAGGGTTATATTACACTTGTGTTGTACCAGGCAGGATGTAGTGAAATGGCTTGCAGAAACAAACTGTGCATTCATGCACATCAACCCCAGGGGGAAGTGTCATCCTGCATGTAGGGGTCAAATTTTGTTTGTCACAGAAACTGAATATGTTGGGCACTGTTGTGAAGGCAGTGATGTTAGAAAACAATGAAGACAGCCCTATTCGTTTACATACGTGTACAGTACACTTTCTAGTGCCGGCTCCTGTGAGTTAGTATGCCACGCTTTATACCCAAAAAGGAGTTTGCAAAGATGTTGGTGCTACATGTATGGCAACAGGTGCATGTATGAGTACTTGTACTCATGGCTTTACCTGATCCCTACAAAGCCCAAATTTAACCCCCCAAAAACCAGATCTTCCAAACCTGGACACTTTCAACGACGACACGTACATGTACCCTGTAGTTTAGGTCACAACTTTACATTTTACCACCAATGACACAAGTACACGTATACCAGGTGTATTTAGCTGTACTGTAGAACAGCGTACGTTTATGTACATGTACACTGTACGTACTTGTAGCATACATGTACATTTACCAGTACATTACATTGTGAAAGTCCCTTTCTAGTAGTCCTGTCACCATGGTCACCCATGAAATTACCCATGATTGATTTTGCTTTTGTAGTGCACATTGTACATGTACCAGCAGATGTTGTGGCGTCTTTTTTAAAGTTTGTTTTAGTTTTGTTTTGATTCTTTCCAGTAAGAATTTCTGTTTTTCAGAGTTCTTACATGTACATTACATGGTACATGTACATGTACATGTATGCACACGTACTAGTATGTACATGTAGGTTCCAAGCCTCTTTTTCTTTTTTTGTAAATCTTGCAGCATATGTGTTAATACAAATTTCAATTCATTCATTACAACAGAGCTTTAGAGGAAATATTTATTATTATTATTCTATTGTTATGTTCAAAAATTAAACAGTTAACTTTTTTACGGCCGACTCAAAAATAATGTTAATTGTCATGATTGTATTGGTACAGTGATCATGACTATGGTACTGATACATGTATGTAGCTTACGCGTTAAATAATTTGAAAACTTTCACTGGTCATTGTATACTGTATGTACATGTACATGTACAACATGCAACGATACCTGGGCCATTCTTCTATAAATTTGGAGTCCAAAGTGTGGCATTTTGGGTGTCCCTGTTACACGCTACCTGTGGAAGTGGACATGGAAATTACCGGTACATGTTTATCATTGAAACTGACTTTATGCTGCATTTATTTGTTTGGCATGTTTCATTACTGAATCACTCTCAGAAATTAAAGACTGTGGTCCAGACTTTGAGAGTTCTTAGTCAGATGAGACACAGACACAAAACAACTAGAACCCAAATTTACAGAATGACCAAATTTATGAGTGATTAATTAACATACAATAAG